ATTCTAATAACTTCATCTATTTCAAACCAAGAAAACTTAACTCCAAAAGAGCTCTTTTAGAAAGCAAGCTTATTTTTAAATCTCCTTTATTAAATTCTGATGTAGTGCCATCAAATAAGCCAATTTTTAAAAATTGGACAAATACCTGCAGAGAAAACCCATAGCCTTTGTTAAAAGCAGACAAGTACCAGCTTATTAAGAACGAGCCTTTTATGTTTTCAGACCACCTCTGTTAAAAGGTTTCTTTTTAAACTTCAAAATGCTGCTTTTAAATAAACAAAACTCTTCCTGTTCTCTAATCTTTATACCAATGAAAATTTGTTTCCATATACTTTATAAGGATACTCAACAAAAACTTTTCCCTTTTTATTTTTTAATCACAACTGCCTTTGAAAATGATTATCAATTTAAGCCCACAAATAAAAGCTTTATTTTTATTCATTTTAATTAAAACTGCTACTGTTACAGGTGTTTAAAATCTGCAATACAAGTCTTTTTTCTAGACAAATGAATTTATTCACATTTCATAATATTTCTTTAAAGTTAACCATTACCCTGACAGGAAAAAAAAATTCTAGTACTTTAGTTTGAATATTCCTTTCATATTTTTGCATTCTCAGATATTCAGCTACTGTTGATAAGGATCAAAGTTGACAAGACTATATCAGATGTCAAAAATTATTTACTCAGTATTTTAAATCTATTAACTGCAAATGTCTAACTACATAAAAATAAAAGTTCCTAATTTTAATCTTTGTTTCTGTTTGATATAATAGTGTTTACCACATACAATCCCATTTGTATTGACTAGAGAACTTTGGGGTGGGAGGAAAGAAAATATTACTTAACAAACAATAAAATTGAGCACTAGCCCTTGTGTGAAAATCTTGGTAAGATTTTCATTTTTATTGAAATCTTCACTTACCTCTAGCTCAGTTAATGTGACTTATCTCCTAAAGGAGTGGGTTTGTGTCAAATCAAAATTATTTCTTTTGGTGTTGTTTTTCCGCTTTTGAAACAGTGACCCATTTTATGTTGTTTCATTGGTTAATATGTGCTTCCTCTGAAAGCCCAGTTTATATCAGAAGTGAAGGGGTGCAAGGGTGACCCTCTTGGGAGGTAAATGAAATAGCATACATAGGCCATGATTTAGGTCTTCTTCAGGAAAAACGTTCTGTGGCCCAAGATGATCAGAGGGCACAATATCATAGATTTGGTATAACCTTCCCCATTTTGGGGAAATAGTTAACAAAATTCAATTTTTCTAATATATACTGCCCATTCCGCATCAGACACCAAGTACTGTGAAAGGTACAAAGACCTGACATATGGCTCCTGCAGTCCCCAAGGACATTTACAAATATCTAACGTGCAGCAGGAAATTACAAGTATCCCAAGAACTAGGAGTTTAGCAGAGATTACATCCAGCTACAACTGGATCTGGGAGGGAGGAATGGGGGCAGCTCAGTGCTAGTAGCTTCATAAAGGATATCCAAAGATAGGACAGGGCAGAAACTCTTGGAAAGGAAAGGATAGAAAACCTGTAAACCTCAAAGCATGTTTCTCTACTTTGGAACACAGACCACAGGACGGATGAGAAAAGAGCTTCAACATTAGCTAAAGTCAAACTATTTTGACTACAAGCATAATAATTAATAATCAAATAGGTTAAACCTAATATACCAACATTTTACCTCTAAAGCAAATAATTTGGTTGTACCACAAGAAATTTATGTACAAGGAAAATTTACAAACAGAAGTGAAATTACTAAAGTGCACTGGAAAATAATATATGCACACACACACACACACACACACACACACACACACACACACAGAAAAAAGAAATCTTTGTTTGTCTCCTAATCATAGTGAGGTGCGGGGGAAATGTTAATTTAAACTATAGCTTCATGAGTTTGCAGCTATCACAGATTCCTTTTAGGCCACCAGTGTAATGCTACAGGGTGAGTCCCTGGCATTTTGTTCTAAAAACCCACAAATGAGACAGTAATGTGACCAGCTGCAGCTCCCTTCCTGCCTTTCGGAAGCTCTGGGTGTGCACACACTTGCAGCTCTGTATAACTTCACACAAAAGACTGGCAATTGGCCAAAAAGCCTCTGCTATGGTGTATATTCCCCAAGGTTCAAGATCTGCCATTTAATTCCAATCCAGCCATAAAACGACATGTTCTTTAGTACACTGTACCAATATAAACAAATTAAATTCCAATTCTATTTAATAACAGTATTACTCCAAAATGCAATATACAATGACATTAAAGTATGTGATCTGTATTTTTAAAGAGACCTATGAATATAATTCTGCTCCATTAAGATAATTCTAAGATAATTCTTAAAATTCCCTCCAAGAGTTACTATTTCCTCATAATCTCACCAATATCAAGAAAACCCACTGCACACAGAGATTTTACTATATTTCCAAGCTTCTCCATTAAGCATTTCATGCACCTTGCTAACTGAAAATCAAAAAGAATGAATGTTTTCAACATCTGGTACGTTCAGGTTGATATGACCTATAACAGCGATTGTGAGATAGATACCTCAAGAATGATCTTATTTTCTGCTGTCTAAAGAGAAATACAACCTTACAGAAATACATGGTTCTGTCAATTAAGTAGCTATGTCATTCTATAATAGCACGTAAGTTTCCTGAGGGAAAGGGGGAAAAAGGAATGAGAACTCTTTAACAGCTTGGATAATGCTTAACTTATATAGAAAGGAGTAGGGTTTTTTTGTTTTGTTAATTTTAAGATTTTTTTTTATTGGGAAATTGGGGAAAGGGAACAGCGGTGGGGAATTGGGGAAGGGGAACAGACAAGTTGCTGTCCTTTTGTTCTTCAGTCTAGTTGTGGAGGACGTTGCTTCACTGGCCCAAGTTGGTGTTATCATTGTGCTCTTCTCGGGTCAGGCAGTCACTCGCCAGCCACTGGACAGCTGCTCACGCTGGCTGCCAGCCACTCACGGTAGGTAGCTCACAGCAGCCCACTGCAGCAGGGGCTGTATCCTATGCTGTCGCTGGCGACTCAAAGCAGCCCAGCTCCAGGTCGAGCTGTTTTCATCACTGGCCCTCATCTGGGATTCGAACCGGGGCCCTGCTGCTCAGAGCTGGAGCTCTCAAGCCAACTCTTAACCAACACGCCACTCGGCCAGCCCGAAAGGAGTGTTTTACAAGAGCAAATAACACTAAACTGAGTACTAGCCCTTGTGTGAAAATCTTGGGAAGATTTTCATTTTTACTGAAATCTTCATCTACCTCTAGCTTCCCTCTCTTCCAGGTCTGGACACCTTTCACACAAAGGATCACTGAAATAGGAGTGATATGAATGACCAAACCTTAAGATGTTTTATTCAATAGCCACAATTTAATAATGTTAAATCTGTAGAAATTAAGACTTGGGAAGTCACCTGATCTTTTTTCTTCCTTTTGATGGACACCTTTCTACAATACGATTATCAACTAATTAGCACAGAACTTCAGTAGAAAGTGTGAAACAAAAGCAATATTTAGACTTTAATTCCCATCCTTGCTTAGTACTGCCTACATGTGACAGTTAAGGGCTGTATGGCAAAAAAAAAAAAAAATTCCAAAGAAATTCTTTTTTTTTAAGATTTTATTGGGGAATTCGGGGAGGGGAACAGTGTTGGGGAATTGGGGAAGGGGACCAGCCAAGCTGTTCTTCAATCTTCATTGTGGAGGGCGCCAGTCGCCATCTGGCTTACCATGGCAGCTTGTGGCCTCTAAGCTCAAGGTGCTGTGTTACAATCTCAGTTGAGGGTGGGCGTAGCCACCATCCCATGCAGGAATCGAACCCGGCAGCTTTGTTAAAAGTGCACGCTCTATCCACTGAGCCATCCAGGCGGCAGCTCAGCTCCAGGTGCCAAGTTTAGTCTTAGTTGCGGGTAGGCGTAGCCCACCATCGAACAGGCAATCTTGTTGTTACACCAGCTGAGCCATCCTGCCACCTGCTGGCAGCTCAGCGAGAATTCAGCTTGGGCGCAGCGTTACTGGCCCATGTGGGAATCAAACCAGCAGCCCTGTTGCTCAGAGCTCTTACTCTTAAGCCAACTCTTAACCAACTGAGCTACTCGGCCAGCCCTCCAAAGAAATTCTTTAAGTGGCTTTTTTTTCCTTCAATGTCAAAAACCTTTTGAATTGAGAGTGAATAGATTAAAACTATTAAATAAAGAATTATAATTCACTAGTCCAGAAAAGAAATTCGCTTCACACTGAAGTTGAAGCTGAAAAATACACTGACTTTCTGAGTATGCCACGTGGCTATGGACTGTTAAACATCCAAATCCACTGTAACCCAAATAACTTAGATCTAAGTCATCACAAAAATACTTAACTCTATTGTCATTTATATAAAGCAGACATATATATTATATGACAAAGAAAGAACAAGGCCTCTAATCTTCTTCTAAAGAGTATATATATATTTAAATAGCTACACACGAAATTCTTGACATTTATCTACAGAGGAGTATGAAGATGAGAATGGAACTATGCTGAGAGAGGGGAGAATGTCAAAATAATTTTTAAACAAAGAAGTTTAAATTTTTAAGATTATGTAACAAAATGTTAGCTTGCACAGTAGGAACATGAGATTTTTTTTTGAAACATGTTTTTATCATATTATTCTTCAATTAAAAGCAAAACAAGAAAAAAAAAAGGGAATTATAATGAACAACAACAATAAAATACTTTTCACTTCCCTGAAGCTTACTGGGATGGACAAGGAACATGAAGCAGGGAAGAAGAGGCCTAGAAGTTGAAGGGAACATGCAAAGTAAAATCTCCATGAATAGGACAGGCATTCCTGATGGCTCCAGTCCCTTGTGAATCCTAGCAGAGCAAAAAAGAGGTAATGGCAGTAGCAACTGGTTTAAAGACTGGTAGGGGAATGGAGCAAGGAAAATGAAAACACTTGCATGCTCATGGTAAGGAATATCATTTCCAGAAAAACATTAATACTTACCAGTATGTACTGTAGCTACTACAATCCATACACACTGTGTGCTGAGCTTTATCTTGTTTTTCTGATTTCTTATGGTTGGTTAAGGGTACCTGTGCATCTTCGTAATGTTTTTTTGCATGGCCGTTCACATACCTTACAAAAATCAAATGAAAATTTATTTTAATTTAAATATTGCTTTGGAAGTTAAAGTAGGAGATGATGATAAAAATTAGATGGTAATCAAATCAAAATGAAAAAGAATTCACTCCTCCTTATAAGAGCATTCATTTAGTGATTTATTAAGCTGAGTACTTAAAATATGCTCCTTTTTTGCAATCAAATATGACAGCCAACTTTTAATTACAGTACACACTAACTAGGACCAGGCAAGGAAAGGAATTATCTATGCAAATCAGTTTCAAAACTGTTGATATTATCACTTATCAACTCCTTTACTGATGCTCTTGCTAGTTATTTTTTTTAAGCTCGTCTCAGACTGCTAACCCCCAACTCGGTTATCATCAAAGACAAGCCTTGTAAACTAAATTACTCAACCACTTCCCACAGGGCCACAGGCTCTGCTTGGGTTGCTGCTTAATATAAAACATGAGAGTCAGATATGGAAAGAGGATAATCTTCCATCTCTTTCTCATCAATAAGTCTTCAGATCTTTCATTCGAACGCCTGAATAATCAGCTCCACTCATATGGAAACACATTTGTTTAGAAACAATCCAAACAAAACACAAATCATCTTAAACTTATATAAATTGTTATTTTTCGACATGGGTAAAGATAATCAAAAGTTGACTGTATTCATAAAAAAAAATTGTAACACTGTCCAACTCAGATTTGGTAAATCATTGTATTACCAAAAGTAAAATGAAACTGAAGTAAGGGTTCAATGTGCACATGGTGCGCACCTAGAGTCATCTACATTTTCACCTAAATGCTGTACAATGCTGTAACTGAACCACTACTGTGAAGAACCCTTCTAAAACAAAACCTCCCAATTCCTAAGAAGCAGCCATTTTGTAGAAGGCAAGGCCTAACTGAAAACTCAGAACAGTCAAAACAAATGTTGGTTAAATGGGACCAAAATAAATATGCTCAGAGAGTTAAGGTGACATTTTTGTCATGCGGCACCTTAATGTACTAGGAGCAACACTTACCTCGGGGAAAGAACAGCAGTAGGTAGGCTCAGCTTCCAGCCCAGCCTCTCTGCCCAGAAAGCGGGAGGCAACAGGGGCACTACTAACCTCGCCTCAGGATGTGATCACGTTTTCTTTCCCATTTTTTCATTTAAGTAAACATAACCAACATTTGTGTATACATGGGTCCTCTGCCCACAAAAGTGGACTAAAATGAATTTTAAAATAAAATAATGAGTAAGAGTATAAACTCGAAATCTAGACTGCCTGGGTTCAAAAGCAGGCTTTGCCACAGGCTGGCCATGTGAGCTTGGGTGAGTCACTTAATGTGTTTGTGCTTAAATTTTCTCATCTGTAAAATGGAGATAATAGTACTCATATCTCATGAATTGTTAGGTGATTAAATTAAATAATCCGTGGCTTAGAATACATGCATGAATACATGAATATTAGCAATTTTATTCGTATTGTCCTTTATATGCTTAACTAGTATTTATTCAGAATCCAAACAACATAATTGCTTGGAAAGTCGTCATATTAATAAGCACATAACTTAGAGATAACACACTGCATAGGTCAAGAAACACCCAATATTTAGTTAAAAGGTGAACTCCAAGTTATAATGCAGGTTTAATATCTAATCAGCACAATTTCCTATGCTTAAATATATTTATACTGTGCCATAAAAAGCACTAATAATATTTATAGTAAGGACCACCTCTGGAATCAAAGAAAAAGCAATACTGAACAATAACAATAAAGGCATTACTACTTTCAAGTCTTTAAAAACTGATTATCTGTACATAGTACACATAGTTCATTTAAACCACACTGTAGTCTCCAAATAGACTAGATGTTTAAATGCTTACTATAAATGTCAGTGATAAAGTAAGAAGTGTATTGTATTACTGCTGACATTAAGATTAGCAATGTTTAGGCTAATCCTCAATACAGTCAGAAGTTAGCCATTACATATAAATTGGCTAACATAAAAACAAATATTCCCCTCATCTAGTTTTAGATTTTAACTAGACAGTTTGGTCTAAAAAGGAATATGTCAATATATATGTCACACATTTCTAACAACAATCACAAAAATTTGAAAAATAATTTCAATGGGATGGTATTATGAAGACCAACAGAATATGTAACTCAAATATGCTACTGATTAACTGTTTCCTAGTTGAAAAAATATTCAATTTAAGACTTCCCTGCAGAAAAGTGGTCTAAAATTACTGAAAAATCAGAATCCTTGGCAATCAACACCCAGGATTACATAATAATAAGGAAAAAATGAACCAATGAACCAATGAACTATGTAAAAGGAAGATCCAAATGCAGACTGCTCTGATTATCTGTTTAATCTACTTAGCCATATTTTTCTGAAACTATGTCCGATTTCTAAGTTTAAGATTGCTTGCAATTGGAAACAGACTACCTGCAGAGACTAGAAATTTTTCCATTTACTTTTCCAAAACCTGCTTAGAGAATTGGTTGTTGCTTGCTATTAAAAACATTAATCTCTCCAATTTTTGAGAGTTTGTCAGGTCTTTTTGTTGGCATATGCCCTTCAAGATTTAGGTTGTAGAGCACTATGAGACAACTGGAGAACAGAACTACATAAATTTTATTGCATTATAATTCTCACCTCTCAAAATCTAGGAGAGGAATCTGTCTCTTCAAGTGCAGAATTTAAGTGCTTCTACTTTTCTTCTTTTTTAAAAAAAATGTTATCTGTACAAAGTATTTTCAGGCTCCCCAAATCCTAGAGATTTCAAAACCACAACAGCCAAAATTAAGATATGCAGTGAACATTTTCCAAAGGTACTCTTAAGTGTACATGGAAAAAAATACTCAATTCTGGGGCTCAAAATGTAAAAAAATCAAAGGTTAACTGAACAAAGATGCTCTCTTCATGCAATGAGGGTTTAAGAACAACAGTGGGGAAACAGTCCTAATAAATACGATATAGATTTCAGCTTGTGTGACTTAGCATGATTTCCCATCCCCTTGCTACTAAGCTTTTAACACTAAAGCAAATTCAAAGCGGACTTTCTAAGCTTAAAGGGCAATAGATATAAATGTGCTAATGCCAGGCTAAAAGAACACAAAGGTTGATATTTGAGTTTGTATTAAAAGAAAAGAGCTACTAGAGTATTTAAACAACATCATTTGGAAGCCAAGAACTGGAAGGAAATGCTCAGGCTTAAATTGGAATGGGGGTGGGAGTGGGGGTGGAGAGTTAAGTTCCTGGAAAGCAAAACTATCTTAATGAAACAATGAAACATTTGGTACTTCTTACAGTTAATTATGAACTCCACAGCGAGAGTTTTTTCAAGGAAATTCCTTTATCTGTAAATATTTTAGTGTTTTGTTCTGTCTTCAGAAGAATGATGTGATAGCTGGGATTTAAATCAAACGTCAGTCAAGGTAGAGATGGGGTAGGTAATAGGTGACACAACACTGGCCATGACGAAAATGGGTGACGAAAATGTGGGGTTCAATTAGACTATCTCTCTACTTTTGTGTATGCTTAAATTTTACCCTAATAAAAGCTTTTAAAATCAACCATAAGGAAATCTTCTATTTCAAGATTTCAAAGTTCCCTTATTTCATCTTTTCAATCAAGTATTACTAAATTTAGATTATCTTTGTCATCAAATGAATTCCTCTGAGTATCAATATAAAGGGTTTTACACCCTAGATATTCCTTAGTTGTATTACTTAAAAAACAGATTCTATTGGGAGAGGGAAACCCTACAGAGAATTACACACTATGATTAAGCAATGGTGCTAAATAAATCCAAATCAATAAATCTGACATTAGCTTAAAGGCAAACTGAAAAAGGCAAGTAGGGTAATGAAGTAATAAGTATGTCACCTACCTTCCACAGTGGACACTTGAACAAGTCAAACAGACCCAGGGGCTTTTGTTGGACCGGCACACTAATAAAAAGAAAAATACACAATATACCAATTGTATCACGTTAGTTCCCAATTTCTCCCCTAATCTGTAATATCATATCCTGTGATTAAGTTATAAATTCCATGGCAGCTGAGGTATACTGAAATCACAAATCCCTGTTTTGTAAGTGCATTTACACAAAATGGCTGCCTAATTATAAAGTTATACTGAAAAGAATTTAAACGCATGTCCACAACAGCTGCTCATTTTAGCTGTTGACTCAACTCAAATAGTTTAATCGCAAGTTAAACACATATTCACTTTTTTCCTTTATTATTCCTTTTAACACAGTCTCTGACAAGTTAATGACAGTCTATTTTTACATTGAAAACATTTTTAAGTCTAATATTTAATCACATGTCTTTGCCATGAAGATCATATACAATTATAAATGACAACTCTTTCAGTTTATTTAGTGAGAGGTATAACCTAAGGATACAATTAGGAAGGCTGAGCATAGTTCTTCCCTAATTAATGTCTCAGTTGCATAAAATATAATTCTAAATATGACAACTGCATACAATTCTAACAGTGTAATCAGAACATTAATTATTTTAGTTTAAGTATTATAGGGGTGCGGTAGGCAAAAAGGGGTATGAATACTTTTTAAATATCAGTTACAATTTTGCTTGCTGTTGACTCATTCAATTAAAAAACCCAATAAGCATAACTACGATTTTTGAAAAGAAAGATATAAAAATCACCTGGAAAACTTTTTCAAAACACATATGTTCTACTCAAGCAGAGATATGTACACTGGGAAGGGAACAGAAGGACAAACAACATGTGTATCTTGAGAAAAATAGTTTCCCAGATGACTCCCTAATAATACAACCCCTTGAGAACCACTGGTCAGCCTCCTAAGGGCATTGGAGGGGCACCACAGCACAACCACACACTCAGGATTATAGCAAATCCACTGTCTGGCACAATATATGTTCAGTAAACATTTATTGAAAGAAAGTTTAAATTTCTTAGTTTAAGATACCAAGCAAGCTCTTCCAAAATTTCGTCCCTACTATATATACTTCTCTTGCCTTCACAACATGCCTTTCTCACTGTTAAGAAAAATTAACCAAAGCTGGGAATAAGGTCAATCAAGAACTGTAAACCCTTTCAATATATAATGAAACACTTCTAATAGCCCCCCTCCAAGATATTTAATTATAGTACTATTGTTTGACCTGCTGTTTACTGTTGATTGGGACCCAAAATCTATGAAGTTAAGGTAAATCTGTAGATTTTTATTTGGTAGAGATCATTCCTGTCCAGCAGATTCCAAAGGTTATGGTTTACTACCCTGTAGGACATTAACCTATTTTGTATCTAGTTTAGCAATTTATTGCAATGCTCTTTCTTCTGTCTACATACACTCAACTCCTCAAATGCTGTTAGAATCAGTTTTACTATCATGCTGGTTCCCTACTAATGAGTTAAATCTATGACATATGTCCATCCTGTGTTCGGGAGGAAAGGAGAGGACAAGGAAGTATAAAAGAGCACAATCATCTACTGACTAAGGGACTCTGCCTGTCTGGCCAACACAGGGCTCTAACTAGTTTTGAATACGAAAGCTTTGAGAGGTAAAATCCCCTTCCAGTTAGCCAAGGGCCCTACCTTTCTTTAGGACATTCACACATTTACATTAATTGACAGGACCATCCTGAAGGTATTTGTTTTTTACTCAGTTGGGTCCAATTTTGTTATATGTTTATGTAAGCTGCATGCCAGCAAGGCTAAGAATACTTGCCAAACTGCTAACAACAATTATTTTAGGCAGGTACATGAGAAAACTATTTGTGAGGGGACTGTTCGCTTTATATATGTACACCCTGTGGTATTTGATTTACATCAACAAGAGTATGATGTTTTTATATTTTGAAAAGAAAGTCCTAAAACGTGAATTTTTTAAAAAGAAAAAATTAGAAAACATGAAACAGTTTTCATGGTTTGAGATATAATTTGGAGGATTGAAAAACTACAAATATTATAGTTCTGTTCCTCCAGTATCTCTCTCTTTATCTCTCAGTCAATACTAAGAAACACTGTAACTCAATCTGGAAAAAAAAATGTTGAAGTTTAATATTATCCTATAATAAATAATGTTATAATAGTAAGTTTAGGCCCAAGTTTTTAACTATCTAGAGTTTTTTTGGTTTTGTTTTTTTAATTATGAAAGGCTTTTTCCTCTTTTACTTTTCATTTTTATTTTTTATTATTTTAGAGTTACTGCGGGCCAGGGGTCTCAAGTCTCTATGGATCGAGCCTGGATTCTGGCGGGTGCAAAGCTTTTATGCTCAACTGCCACAAAGAAGTAAATTTGAATATCTTAACCCAGTATGTTGATTCGATGTGTCTAGCAACTGCTTCACCAAAACTTCTTGTCCTTTTTCCTCTTTTAAATGATGGAAATATGGAGCAAAATCACTATTACTTAGGTGTGTTTCCTACCAAGTGTTCCTCTTTTCCCCTTTATAAATATACACATGGCACAATTTTGTAATCTAATTGTTCCACTATCGATATACTGAATGCATTTCTTCATGTTACTGAATTTAGAACAGTGTATTCTAGATCTGGTCTTATACTATCTCAATTATCTCATAAAGTTTTATTCATTTTTTAATACCTCAATTTCAAATTTTAAAAAAGATGCCCTAAAACTGAGGGGAGGAAGAATGGGGAGTAACTGCTTAATAGGTATGGGGTTTATTTTGGGGCAATGGAAATGTCCTGCAACTAGATAGAGGTGGAGGTTGTTGATGTACTGCCATTGAATTGTTCACTTTTAAATGGTTAATTTATGTTATGTGAATATGTCAATAAAATAAATAAGTAGATAAATAAATAAGACAGGGTTAAGGAGAGGAAATAAAAGCAAACAAAGTAATGACTTTCAAAAACATTGGAAACAAGTGACTGTGCCTTTTAATAAATCTCAAAAAAGACTTCACAATCTGAGTCAAGAAACGTGATTTCTCCTATCGTAAGAAAGTAAAGACTTTTTGTATGACAGAACAGTTGGTCTTGGCTATGTAAATGACAGTACTCTCTGAGGGCTTAATACTTTCACACCAGAAAAACATTTGAAGGCTAGAAAGCTACAGAGAACAGGGTATGATGAGGCATTCCAAAGCCATTTATTGTATTGCTTTGGGGAAATTCACTCTGTCGATACACACACCTTATCTAAATTAGGAATCTTTAATGTACCCAAGACAATTATAAAATAGAATAAAAAAATACTGGCTTTAAATTAAACTAATTCTCAATTATTAACAATAGAACAGGTCATAGCATGAATAAAACAGTACTACAAATAATCCCAAAATCATTTACTTTAAGCACCTTAAGAGGAATTATAAAAAAGGTAGTCTCAATTTACAGACAGATGAGTTCAAAAGTTTATCTAATAAGATGAACCCATTTCCATGGGAACAGTATTAGAGGTTTCCAGGCTCTTCTATAAAATGCTACATGAACCATTATATAACTGAAATTTTTATAAATATATATAAATATAAATTAGTCAATAAAAATATTTTAAAACTTTGAATATTCTATTCAGTAAAACAAAAATATTACACTGAAGTTTTTATTTTTTAAATCTTAAGTTGCTGGTACTTGAGAGGAGAGTAATATGGACACTTATAGAAGTTCAAAAAGATAAGTGAGAATTTATAAGGGTCCTTTTTATTACACATAATTACACTTCAAGGTGATGTCAAGGCAAGGAAGACATGCGGTGCATTTCTCATACTGTTACACTTGGTCACAGCAAGGTCACTGGTCTCATAAATGGAGTCTCGTCTTCTTTCACTCAGATTATAAAATTTCCTCAAAGTTACTCTCTCCGCAAGCAATCTCTCCCTTTTTTTAGGTTCTTCTAACCCCAGACTCAGCATCTCTTTCCTCAGTCTCTGGGCATCTCAGTCTGAAGGTTGGTACTAACTAGGCTCCCTCCACCATTCTCCTTCAGCTATGGCTTCAGGACCTTCCTCTGGCCCAGTTCTCAACTCAGCCCCAAGCTCTGGGAGCTGGCAGAGGGGCCCATTTGGAGAGAGTGAAAAATCCTGAGCTAGGGCCATTCTCCAGACGGTAGAAGCTGCAACACATGCTGGGCAGGGGAGAGGGGTGGAGAAGCGCAGGCCTCTAAAACCTGCTGGAGCTCATGTCTTCTTCCTAAAGCCCCCAGAGCTTTAACTCTCCTGGGAACCAGGAAGTGAGAAATGATGGGGCAAAGAGGCCAAGGGAAGGCATCCGAGTGATCCACAGACCAAAGTGGTTCTCTCCCTACTAGTCCTGGGAAAGGGAATCATATTCTGCCCCTTTATCAAGGGATAAGAGCAGAAAGCTACGAAAGTCTGCGCTTAAAGGGCCTGTTTACACGCAAATGGTTTCAGGTTGTGTTCAGGAGACAAGGAGCTCCTAAGACCAAATGGCATCCACACTGACTGTAACGTTCTTTCCACAGAGCCACCGATCTTCATTATGCTTAGTATTCACTATGTAGAGCCTAATAATAGAGAGCACATTTGATATTCAAGGCCTGTCAACAATTCTCCTGGAATTCTAAAAATTTTTTAGAAAACATCATGCTCTAGTGCTTACGTTACAACTTAGGCACTGTCTCTATACACAAACTAGTTCAAGAACACAGCACTGACAGGCAAGCCATTTATTTATAGTGTATCCATTATTCAACAGTTGCTTCAACTGGTAGAGACGCTCTTTATCTTCTTAAGAATTCAAAAGGTGAGGATCCGATAACCAGGACTCTAGTCCTGGCTCTTCCACCACTATCTATAGAACCGAGAACATCACTACTATTCTGGGTCTATTTCTCCATTGTAAAATGAAGACTAGGTGATGAGCATGTCCCCTCTAATTATAAAATCATTCAAAGACTATAAGGCAAAAAATAGATGAAACAATCATGTCATCTTTCCCTATAGATAAAATTCTTCCAACTCCACCCTCC